TTGTGTGGGCCAAGTACTGATGGCTTAACATTATAGGATCCATTTGATTCCCTCAGGATTCGGACTCATGATCTGTACGGTAACAGATTCGCGTGTGTACCCTTCATTCTCATGGGCTGGATAGGCCTGCCCTTTGATCCCTTTTGAAGGAAGGGTAGGGTAGGGTACGGCGGGGCAGGGCAATGAAATGAGGCCCAAAGATGGGGTTTCTGGCATGAGCATACACATTATAACGGAGAGATCGGATCTCATTTTTGAGACGATGAATGAATACGAGCCTTAAACCGCAAGCACACAGCCTCAGCCTTGCAGAAAGTTTTTGTCGCCACAAGCAAAACTCGGAGGCGCCGAGGGGTGTGGGCCGCCGTTGAAAAAACAATCGGCAGCCTCCGAGTGGTGGGGGTTTCATGCTGACACCCGCGGGCCGATTTGTGGTGTACTGGTGCTTTCAACTGGATAACGGTGAGTTTACAACGGTAGAGAGTTTCCGGCGTGATTGTGACTCAGCAAGCGATGCTATCATGAACAGAATATCTTTTCGAGGTGCAACTTTTCTTTCCTTTTGTTTTCTTTTTCTCCAAGCTTTGGGCACAAGAGGCTGAATCTATAGACAGATTGCGACGAGAATAGTCAGGGCACGCATGAGTGTGAGTATGACTTATGTGACAGCGAAGCAATGAAGTGATGTGATTACAGATGATGGTGTTACATGAAAACGGGTACTCATTGGCGAGAGAGCCTTTTCAATGTAAATGTGGCTCTGCCTGTCAGGCTGACTTAAATCTGAATGCGACTCTGCCTGTCAGACTGGCATAGTGTACTGCATCGATTGGCGTGAAAAGAAAAAGGGGAGTTCGTTGGCGCGAGATCATTTTTTCAATGTAAATGCGACTCTGCCTGTCGAACTGGGACAGTGCTCGGTAGTGATTCTGTGACAAGAAAATTGGTGTTGTCGCTGGGAGAGCGTTTTCGATGTAAATGTGGGGCCACCTGGCAGATGGACTTTTATTTATGTGAATGTGATTCTACCTGTCAGAGTTCCTTTGATATAAATGTGACTATGCCTGTCAGACTGGCATAGTGCGACGTCCGCATGACTGACTATCGAAAATTTGGAATGCATGACCCTGGATGCCCTTTCCCTCGAGATATCGTAGTGTTTCAGGGAAGAGCTCATAAAAAACAGCCAACCATGGTTAGGAAATATGACCCCAATAATAGCTCGTAGAATGCATCCGAAAAGTAGTACCGTGGTCTGCACTCATGTGCTTTCCTACCAGGCTAGTTTTGGCCGTTTGGGCATAAAATAAAAAGCTGTTTTGTTTTTTCACCTAATGGTTTCTACTCAGCTGAGGAGGAGGAAATTGCTAAACTCCTTTCCAGGTGTTCTAAGTGCAATCTCTGTAGTACTGCATGCTGCGGATTGACGAGGTTTGATGCGACTGTTGATTGTAGTGCTTTGTGCCTTGGATTGGCAAGGTTTGATGCGACTGCTGATTGCCCTCCTGACCGTTGGATAAGGTTCTAGGTACCGATACCAAGCTTGGGACTCTTGGGACTGGTGGTGATGGGGTGGGGTAGTTGCAAATGTACTCATTTGCGGTTTGGTGTACAAGAAATATTATGCAAGGGATGTGGTGATGTGGATTGAAAGGGTGGGGTAGTTGCAAATGTACTCACTTGGGGTTTTTGGTGTACAACAAATATCACGTGAGTGACGTGACGGGAAAAGCGCCTCCTGGGTTGTGAGGCGAAAAGGAAACTACGAAAAGGATGGACACGTAATGCGTATGGTTAAACCCTTTTTTTTCTGTTTTTTTTTTTTTTTTTTTTTTTTTTTTTTTTTTTTGTAAGGTCCTTGTGCAAAGCCTCTTACCCCCAGTTCCTCCAAACCTCTTTTTCATGACCCTGATTTCCGATGCTTACTAAAAAAGGAACTGGCCAGGCACATCATACTTTATTTTTTGCCAGGCACTGCCTGCTTTTGCCTTCCGGTAGGCCGGGACCCTGTTTATACGGCGGTTTAACTGCCGCATTTGAACGAGATAGCTAGGAAAGGGACTGGCGGTAAAAAAGAAACAGGTGTATTGCGTGCTACGCGGTTTGGTGTCCAACACACAGGCGACGCTAGGGAAAGGGGTGCATCAAGGGCCCTGAGTCGGAACGAAAACCACAGGGAAGACGGATAAGTACGGTGGTGATGTATGCAGCCATTGCAAGTTGAGATGTAGGGGTTCGACTTGCAGTCTCTTTAATTGCTTCTTGTCTTCGTGAAGGGCAGGATGATTCGGTTTGCGCCTTTGGAAGCCCCTCTGAACTGAAATCTGACCTCAATCTGTAAGGTTTTCTTTTGGGGGTCAGTCAGATATGCCATGGCTTTTCGAGTATTTGTCGCGGGGGTTGTGGTGCTTCCCCCTTTTTTGTAGCAGTTGGTTTGACTATTGAGTAAGAGTGCGATGGCGTCTTTCCGTTTGTGTCTGCTTCCTGTCGTTGTCTTTGTTATTTGTTTGAACGGTCGCATGAATATTATGCAAAAGTTATGCTCAGCGTCTTCGCTGTTGTTTCGTAGTGATTTAGTCCTAGGTGGGTGTTTCTGTTTCTGCATTTCTACACCTTTCATGATTTCATTACGTTTCCTCGTAGGTCTACTTAAAACGTATTATCGATGATTACCCCTATATCCTTGACCATACTACACCCTCACATGGACACAGGCTGATTCACAGGAGGAACCCAAAGCAGATGTAGACGAGAAGGCGGCATACAAAATTGGATCAGACATTGTTGCATTTTGAACCACTGGTATGAAGCAGCGGTATAGCCATAGCCATAGGTGCTCGTTGTACCGATTGCTGAATGCGGAAATGTAGAGTGTATCTTTAAAAAGGGGGCATGGAACATTCGCCATTTCACATCAAGATGATAGGTTCTCGACTCTAGTGCAAGGGCACCTCTTTTAAGATAAACCGATCTCTTATACGGTTGGTCGCTTTACGGCAACACAATGCAGATGTGTGTGTGTGNGAGAGAGAGAGAGAGAGAGAGAGAGAGAGAGAGAGAGAGAGAGAGAGAGTCTCAAAGCTACACGTGTGGCCCTTCACAAGCACAAGCGGCCAAAGTTGTCCCTGTCTGTGTCCGTTCCATATTGTTGCATGAATAGCGAACGGGACAAAAGCTGGCATGGTACCTTCTCTTGAAACTCTCTTGCAACACCACAACGAATCGAGCAAGAATGTAGAGAGTCGGGGCATTACTCAGCTTATGAAATTTTCACATTTGGTCAGTGCATCTTCATCACAGAACAACAAATAGAGCAAGAATGTAGAGAGTTGGTGCCTAAATCCCAGTCGTTAATTAATCCCGTTATTTTTTTCTTTTTTTTGTGCTGCACCTATCCGATTTCTAGCTTGGTAGGTCGGGACAGAACAGGTTCGGTTTCCTGAGTGACGAAGCAAGGAAATGATGGAGCCTCTTGATTCACTGTTCAATGGGCTCTCTGCTGTTGTTTCGTTGGCCCTGCGCCAGAACTCTGTGGGGGTTCTCTTCACATTACCGCTTGGCTAGGAGAGGAATGCAGAGGCCCTCTGAGGTAGTTGGCGGTTTGAACAGTGCCTTTCTGTCAATTGCGAAGATGCTGGACTGTTTCAAAGTGGGGTCACTACCTTCATCCTCGGAGTACAGCGCCCAGTAATTTTATCTGTATCTGGCCTGAAAGTTGCACTAAATGCAGCTGTAATGATTGGACATTGTGTTGTGAAACGACTCACATCCTGGCACGTAGCCTGTGTAGTCGAGAATCTAAGAGAAGCATGGTTATGAGATATGAAGCGTGTGAAGGTGGCTTGTTGTTTTCATCTCTCTCTGCAATCATTTGTCGACTGGAAGACTCTAGGAGAATATGAAAACTGAAAGGCGAAGTGTCAACGAAAGCTACAGGTAAGTTCTGTGGGTTGCAGGCATCCTTTTCAAAGCTGCACCTCTCCTCGTCCCACAACTCTTCTATCCTGAAGTTTTTTTTTTTCTCTCTTTTTTTTTTTTTGTGGTGGGGGGGGGAAGTCCCCAAGACTGTCATTGTGCATTTGTGGTTGTTTGCACTCCCGTCCCCACTCCCTGATAATTTGACGCACAGGGATCTTGAGAGCTTCTGTGCACTTTTGTAGCAGGTGGCCCTTTGTTTGTTGAAGAGCCTGTTCTTCTTTTTTTTTCTTCCTCTCTTTTTTTGAAAAGTGCGACGGCCTTGAGATATCATTATCGAGCTGACCGTCCCGGCCCTAGGTAGTTCTGAGTTGTAGTATCTACTATCTTTACTATTTTAGTCATCTGCTCTCAGTGGAGTTTGAACTCAGGTCTGTATTTTACCAACTGATCTAGGCCTCTCGGTGAAAGGCCTGTTGCTCTGACCGGCCTTTATCCCTGTTCCAGAAGATCCTGTTCTGTTCTACGTTCCAACTCTAGGATGTCACCTCCTACTGGTGGGACACGTGTCGTAGTACTTGTGACTTTGGTGGCATAGTACATGCAAATTTGGGTGGATGCGAAACGCGTACTCATGCTGCGAATTATGGGGTTGTATCTGACAGCAGCATTTGTGAATAGATTCTGCCCAGAAAAAGTCCTGATGTGGGTAGGAGTCCTTCAACTCTCTATTTGCTCGCTCGATTTCTTTTGTCGCTGTTCTTTACCTTGTTGCCTATGATGTCATATCTGCTCGTTGGCCTCTTTTATCTTTTGTCGTTTTCCGTTATTTTGCAATACGTTGAGAAACTGTTTGGAGCCGTAACGAGTATATCTCCTATTCTCTGAGCATTTCTGTGCTTCTCCAGTTACCTTATCCATCTGCTATGTTTTGAATGAAGGCATAGTCTGCGTGGATGGTTTTGTGTGCAATTAAATCGCTACGGGGGATGACGAATTTGAACGCGATATTTCACAGAAAGGAACGCGAAAGTTTCCCTTTTTGGTGTATTCTCATTTCCCGTTTTTGTGACCCTTTCGTGCAGGACATGCCGGTAGGGGAACGCGACCGTTTGCTGAGGGAGGACCTTCTGTTGTTGTCACCTATCATTAACGAACTGTGTCCAAAATTGGTAAGTTTCTGTCACTGGCATGGGGAAAGGGACTGCAAATGATGGTGGAGGTGGGCAAAGGGGATAGGTTTCCGCACACTGTTGGCGCTCTGCTCGCTTCACTTATCGCGGTTATGATCTACAGTGCGACTTGTTGTGCCCACGCATTTACCGATGTGTCCAACGACTCCAACTGCTCACAGCAGCCAATCAACTCACACAATTTGTGGTTCACAGACAAAGGAGAACTGACGTACAGAGTATAGTCAACGCCTCTGGCTCCTCTCTCCCTCTTGCATGCCTCCACACACAGTTATTAGCGTACTCCGAATGGGTACATGGCTTCACAGGAACACCAGGAATCAACGATGGTGAACTCCCTCGAGGAAGCCACTGCTTCAGAGTCTCTTTCTCCTTTCTCCGCCCATGCGGGCCTCCAGTCCTGACGGGTAGCCTCCGAATAGCCTCGTGACCTACTGACGACTTCCCCCCTCCCTAGAAGGGCTACCGTCTTCCCCTGAACATGAAGCATATGCGTTGTATTCGAGCTTTTGAAAAACTCAAAATTTCGAATAGAACACACGTGCTTTGTATTCGAAAACAAGGGGCATTCGAATAGAACGCAGATGTGTGTTGTATTAAAGTAAAAACAAGCCTAGGTGTTGTATTCGCTTACAACGCACACGTTATGTTCGGGGGAAGACGGTAAGTGTCACTCCCACTATCTCTGCCTGGTAACCGTTCTGCAGCCGGCACAAATGCACGAGTCTTTCATGGCCGTGAAGGGAGTCAAGTGGACTGTCCTTTTGGCAGCCTTCAGTCTGCCCGGTGGCCTCCTGCCGACTTGGCTTATATGTCAGAAGAACAACCAGTCTGCCAACCTCTTGACTTGGCCTGTCTCAAGATCTGGGCTTGGATAGAAGCCTCCATGGGCTGGTGGTGCCGAATCTGCTAACTTTCCAGGCTGGGTACAGAAGTACCGAAGAAAGAACTGCTACCTTGCCTTTTTGTAGGCCTATGTATGGGGTGATGGCCAAATCCTTTGAGGCAAAATATTTACGGACATGTCCCGGTTAATGAAATTCCTGAAATATCCTGGAGGTCACTTGCAAAAATGAACACAGGCAGAACAAACACTTGTAGATTTTCAGAATCTAAATTACGGTACAACTCGCCGGTTGCTGCAAAACTGTGGGTCGTTGCGTTGCTGCTGTGGCTACCGTCTTCACCCGAATAGAACGCCCCAGTCATCATAGCCGTATTTGGGGCCACTTCCAGTCCAGATGTGGTGATTATGACCGGGCGTTCTCTTTGGGGGAAGACGGTAGTGGGTGCTGACTGTGGTTTGGTTGTTTAATAATCGTTATTGAATGATGATGATGATGTCTTATGAATGTCTTCGGTTGTCCTTTCTGGAAGCCTCTGCATGGACGGAACTGGTTAACTCAATGATACTACTTCGCTGCGTAACCTCGGCGCTCCTGTCCTTACCTGAAGACGTTGATATCGAAGAGATCTTGTGGCACCCACTACACAATGGGCACCTACCTAAGAGTAAATACTGGCAGTGGTTAAGGTAGCCTAAGATACAGAAACTACCCATGCTAATGATAAAGGCACCACCACACAGTGGGCACCTAAGATACAAAAACTACCCATGCTAATGATAAAGGCAAGAAGACTTTCCAGCCAAGTCTCACTAATTGATCATAACTGTTATCGTGGAAATGCTGCACAACCCCAAAGAAATAAAAACAGAAACCCTTTTACTGAACCAAATTGAGCCCGGAATCCAATAAAGAATAGCCATATTCTTTGGTAGCTCTCACGCGACAGTGCTTTGGGAGGAGTCCCTTCCTGTCATGTTGATGAAGAGAGAAGCACAGTTTACACATGAACACCCATGTGCAAGGTGCATTGTTTTATAGAAGGAGGCCTTGGGCATGGCTGCACATACTTTGGTAACCTGACAGCGGACAAGAACCCGGTGTGTGTGGGGCCCTTGCTTTTTTCTTGAACATGTTTCTCTTTTGCATCCACGGAAAGGAGCGAGGGAGGGAGGGAGGGAGGAAGGGGGGGAGGGAGGGAGGGAAGGAGAGAGGGAAGGGAGGGAGAGGGGGAGAGGGGGAGAGGGGGAGAGAAGAGAGAAAGGGGGGTGAGAGAGTTCTGGTTCTCTCAATTAGGTTGAACCACATGTGTTGCGGCTGCTTTTTTGTGTCCGTTTGAGTTTTTACTTCTTGGCTAATGATTGCCTGCTGGGTGTTTGGAAGCCACCTTATGTTTCGTAGGATGTAAAGTTTTGTTGGTTTCCTATTTTCCCACGGCCGGCTTTTTTTGGGGGTATTCTATGCTGATGTTCTTAAAAATAGAAGCCTGCTAAGTTGTGCTGACCTATATTTCCAAATAGAGGGCCATGCAGCAATGACAGAGGGTACATTGGGGTGTTGTCATTTGTGTTCAGTTGTTAGGGGCGGAGATGGGGGAACTAATGTGATATATATATAATATATATATATGCTGACGAGTCTCGGAAAATAATAATAAAATATTTACATCGAATGAATTCAATAATATACAATATATAGATAACAGATCCAGCGGTGGGTGCTTCTACATGAAATTAGAAAATAAATCTCGGAAACATATTCAGAATTCCAGAAATGAATTAAAATTTTGAAAACGAATGCTCTCTGTTATTTCAGTTCTCATTGCTCGCTGCTTTGTGCTCCGTCTTACAGCCAGAGACACACTACACATTTGTGCTTCCGTATGCTGACGACGTCGATGTGAGTGCGAACCGCTACGTGGGAGGGCTACTTGATAGCATAAAGAGGAGACAGGTTGGTGTTTTGTCTTTCTTTTTTGAAATGGTTTCCAACTGTTCAATCTATTTCAGTATTTTGAGAACAAGAGGCTACGCAACGTATTTTGGTGAGGAGCTGCACCGGCAGCTCTCGTTCTCTCTCGTTCCCGTCACGTGCCGTCTTTTTCTTTTCTTTTTTTTACTTGCTTCCATTTTCAGTTTGCTTGGGTACTGCTCAGGCATTTCATCTTTTTGCCTATTGCCACACCACAGAGCTGTCAAGCTTGATTTGTTTTTCATGCTCATGTTTTTCCTCAAACCTCTATCTGTGTATTTCATAAGGGATGTGCTGAGCCCGGTTCTCGGCACGTGCTACTCCCCACGACGAATGAAAAACGATACATGCTATCCCATGTATGCATTGTACCTGTCCCTCGGTGTGTTTATACCTTTAGGGAATGAATCAAGAGAAGTACGCAGGGTGAAATGACGTGACGTTGATGATGCCAACGGGCTTAAGAGACGGGGTTCATCCAGACCATCTAAGTACTGCCTTGCTCCTTCAAACAAGGGAGTGGATCACAAATTAGAGGTACATCATCACATCCCCTAAGATCTAAGGAGAAGATGGAGAGCAATACGTATGGAAAACAGAGGAAGACGGAGGGGGAGGAGGAGGAGGATGAGGAGGAAGAAGAAGAAAAGGAAGGAGGAAGACGAGGAGGAGAAGTAGAGGGGGAGAAGGAAAAGGAAGAAGAAGAGGATGAAGAGATGGTATGGTTAGAAAAATATTTTGAACTATCGAGGTCGTTTGTAATAAAGAAAGGATGAATAACATAGCAAAAATGGAGACGGGGAATTGCAGAGAATGAGAGGGAGGACCTATTGAGAGGCGTTTAGCAAAATCCAAATTATATTGAACAAGTGGATGCCCTGGCGGTTATGCCTGTGGCACACACCTGCTCGTCCTCCCCCCTCCGCCGTCTCCTCCTCCTCTTCCTCATGGTTCTCTGCCACATCCTCTCTCTGACCTCCTCCCCCAGCCCCTTCCTCCTCGGCGGTCTCCTCTTCCTCTGCTGTGCTCTCCTCCTCTCCCTCCTCC